AGTAGATTGTGTACCTGTAAGGATAACTCTAATTCTAGTAGTCTATCGAAGGTAATACGCTACTAGTCGTTAGCATATGTAAGAAACCTTAGCCTTAGGTTAACTATCTTGCAAAACACGTAACGAAATCAACCTCCATGGTGACTTGATAGTCTCTTATATGGATCATCTATTTCTAAGAATCGTTGTTTACACAATAAAGTACAAAAGTTTGGTATAATAAAAGCACATCCTTTTTTTTTTTTAATGTTTTGTTAAATTAAAGACAGTATTGGTCATGAACTTGAGACATGTTTACTTGTGTATTCCTAACTCTTAATTCTAACCCTTGAGCCTGGTTTGTTGCGTTATTGTTGTCCTCAAGCTTTTGTTGACTTGATGAACACGGACATTTCTCTACCCCATCGAGGTACGAATCGTGGTATGGTTCTGATAGGAAATTATATGTGAGTGCTATAACGCACACAGCTAACACAACAATAAACAGGACCAAGAAACTGTCTACGCCAAGTTGCCTAGAGGTGAAAGTGGGATTTGGATCTGGATTAGTAACTGGATCAGGACACCTTTGTTCTTTCTTCTTGAACCATGCACGCTCGAGCTCCATTGCCTTTGGAGACTCTGCTACTTTTAAGATAGTCCTTGAAACATCGGCCACCAAAGGTGATCCGATTGGAAAAACCTGCGAAAAAGGACTTACGATCTGTCACTATTTAATGCAATTTTACAGAAGTTTTGATATAGGAACTTACAAAGCCGAATCCATCAACATTGAATGGTTCTTCAACCATTTTATATGTGTTGCAAAATTGGCCAAGAAAGAGTCTCAAGTAAGGTATTTCCAAGAAAGCTCCAGCGACACCACCTTTTTTGTTCCTTTACTTAGAAGCTCGTCGCATTCTTCTGCGGTATCAAAGGGAACTAGGCTAGATTGCGGGAAACCTTCTTCTTTAAGCTTTCCAAGAATGAAGGATGTTCTTTGATAACCCATTGATTCTCCTTTATCAAGCAAGCTACGCATGCTGGTTATGGTTGGATTTAGTTGCTGTGATGTCAAAAGCGATGCCAAACTAGCTGTATAACTCTGAGTTAACACGAGAACAAGAAAGTACCATGTAATAACCAGGGCCCTCGCCCAAAAGCTAAATACTCTTTCTCCTGCAGACAAAAAATCAAGAATAAGAATCAAGCAAGGTGCATGATATATAGGAAAAAATATATGCTGACATGTAGATAGGGAAGATTAAATGAACTTGGAGCAAAAACCATGGTAGAGAAGGTGTAGTGACCCTCGTTTAAGGGTAATAGCCAAGCAAGGATTGATCAATGAGAGATTGAGAAGAACTTAGAACGAAGAATAAAGGAGATTGGCCGAGCAAAAATTAAGTTGGGACGAGAGAAAATCGATCCGGACGTACCCGGACGTATCCGGACGTACGCCGACCGTACCGCGGGACGTACACGACCCGCCGTACATTTTTGACCAAGCCGTTGACCGTTGACCAGCTAAACTTGGAGCCGAATTTTCGTAGCTTGGAGCCAAAGGTACCCTGAACACGTGTCATCGTCACGTCCGCTGCTCCGTACGTGTCTGTTCGAGCGGCTGACACATGTCCTGCCACGTGTTGACACTCGGTGACATGCGGTAGCTTGACGTCTAAGTCATTTTACCTTATAAATATGACCCCCTTGAAGCTCATTTTCGAGTTTGTGGGAGACTGGACGAAGACATGATGCTGCTAGAATGTGCCGGAAGTTGCTGTGATCGAGAAATCCGTACCGCAACACTGATGTGATCAAGAATCCGTCCGGTGATCGAGAGTGCTGTCGAGAAAACTGTGTCGTGGTGCTATCTGATCGAGAAATCTGTCTGGTGATCGAGAAAGCTGTCCGATCAAACGGAGAATCCGAAGAAATCTGATCCGACGGCGAAGTCTGTTTTCTCTGAAATCTTCCCATGATCTAGTTATCATCTTGATACTATTTCTAAGGGTTGATTATGAGTTAAGCTTGAAGAATCAAGGGTGTTGCTATCAAGAAGTGTTGAATCAAGATAATGGGAGTTGAGTGGAGTCAAGAACAAGGTTGTGAAGCCATGGATATCCGAGATCGTTGAAGCAAACCTTAAGCCTTCAGCCGAATCTCTGTGAGTCTCGTAGCATGTGATATGGCACATGTTAGGATAGGTTGGGTTGATTGATTAGTTCGTTTAGTTGATTGATTGCTAAGTCTCGGTGATGTGCTTAGGCGTATTGATTGCTCGAGTAATTACCCGAAATATCTAACCGTTTAGTAGTATATTCGAGGTCGATCCACAAGGACCAAAGATACTCTAAGGACTTCCGAGACTCGTTCTTAGCTAAAACTAAAAGGTTTTTTTTGTTTGAGTTTTCCGAATTGTAAAATGAGAATGCAATTAAATTAAACGATTTAAGTTTCAAGATTTAAAGACATTAGGCATTAGGGTATTTCAGAGATCAATAAACAATGGAAACATGAGACAAGGAATTCAACAATTACGAACCGTTCTTGAACATGAACACAACTTAGACTAATTCTCTTTCAAGACATTAATCACTAAATTCGACTACTCGATTACTAAACTCAAACAAGTTCATTTAGTTCACAATGCATCCTAACTTCAACTTTCGTTGGCTAGAAATACATTGCTCAATCCACATTCTTTCAGGCATTCTATTGAACACTTTTGATGCATAGAAAAACCTAGGATCTACAACAGGGTGATCAATCCTATTATAGCATTAAGAACATGTGAATCAAAGAACCTAGAGAATAAGAATTCCAAACAACAATTAATCCATTAATCTATCGAATCTCCTAATTAGAACCCTAACACCTAATTAAAAGACTACTCACACATAGCGATTGAAACAAGACAAATATATGTAAAAGAAAACATGATTGAATTGATAAATAAAGAACAAGGGTTTAGAAATCTTCTCCAAAGTGTCAAAAAGGATGAATCTCTAGAATCCCCAAAAAGCTTACAAAGAGAAGTCTCCAAAGTTGCAGAAAAACAACGTCCCCAGAAAAATAGGTTTCTCTGGGTTTTTATACCCAAGTACAGAAAAAGGCAAATAAACCCGGTTAAGGAAAACCGGTCTGGTCGTCGAAAAGGGTGGATCGATCGATCCCCACCTAGGATCGATCGATCCCGAGCTCCTGGAATGAACACGTCTTGACAGATGAGGGTTGGATCGATCGATCCCCTCCTGGGATCGATCGATCCCGAGCTTCTGGTTGATCACTTCTTGACGGACGAGGGTTGGATCGATCGATCCCGAGCTACTGGAACTTTTGGCTTCATCGTCACAATTGGGATCGATCGATCCACGCCTTGGATCGATCGATCCCCAGCTCCTGGTGATCTTTTGTACCGTTTCTCCATTGTTTTAGCTCCGAATAGGCTCAATCACGCACAAGATGCTCCGAATCCAGCTCGAGCACCTATAACCTGCAAAGGACTCAAGACACAACCGAAAAGACGCAAAAGACGGACTTTGATACGATAGATGACTCAAAACACGGACTAAATCAAGATTCGAAACCGTTAAAAACGCAACACATCAACTCCCCCCGACTTAAATCTTTGCTTGTCCTCAAGGAAAGCAGAAATCCTTATCAAGAGAAGAGGTTTGAAAACACGAGAACTCACATTTTCTTCGGGATCATGTTCTATCAATTGCCTGCAAACCACTATCACAAAACTCATCAAACCGTACTAGACTGTACTTCGCCATAACCGTAGCAACAAAATTAAGTCCCGAAATCTAAAAGAACTTTCAGAATCAGATAACTTAACCTTTTAACATTCATTAGCAGTGGCGTGTATTCTCACAAAGGGGGTATCAAACACGTTATGGGCTTGGTCAAAAAGGGCTAATATTTAGTGGCTCAAGGTGTTTCGGGTACTCAACAGTATAAACGGATGCATGTCATTATGCGAAATCACAGTGAGACACAGACCAACTAGGAGGTACATAGCTTCCCTTAAGCTCGGATCAAATCAACAAACACATTATCCCAATCAAACCAATGACTACCCATGATGCTTAACAATATAACCAATGGTAACTCGACATTTCCGGTTCCAATCACTCTCCTTTCCCGCTTCTTCTTTTTATTTTTGTTTTTTTTTTTTTTTTTTTATTTAGAAGCGGGGGAGTGGAACCGGTGTCTCACAAAAATCTGCATCAAGAACAATCGCAAACAGCAGCATATACCCATGAATATAACCTCTAAACCACAATGGCTCAATCTCATCACATATCGACAACCAGTAAACTACAACTCACTATCCTAACAAAAGGAAAGCTATGTCGGTCCGTATACTCCGTAGTTTTCGCACATGGATGCATATCATGATGATCATATAAGAATGCATGAGGTTTCAAACAATGGGTGGGGAAACAGGTGCGGTACTAGACTAAAAATGAGTCTAGCCATTCAGAGTTAGCAAAGAGTGGTAAAAATGATGCGAACAAAACTCTAAATGTATGATCCATTACATGATTCTCAAGCCCCTAAGTGAGATAAATTAAGTCCAGATTAAGTTCAAGTATATAAGATTAAGCTCAATTCATCCAAATTTCAAAGAGATAGGGACTACTATAAAGCGATCAAGTGATGGATTTTCCTGAACTTCCAAGTTATCAGCGAGTAAAGCTAAAATGGTCCCAAGGCAATTAAATCAAACATGGTGCAATTCCCTAAGAAAAGATCATAGTTCTCAGACAACATTTTGACTCAATAAAAGACACGATTTTGACTCGATAAAACAGACTCGATGACTCAAAAGAAAAACATCAAAATGACTCAAAGAAACATCAAAAATGCAAACTAGATTAGTAGACAAGTGGCAGCCTCCCCCCGACTTGCTTCACACCGACTCGGTGTGAAAACAGTTCAAAGAAAAGGTGCCACACAGACGCAAGAAAATCAAAATAAAGAGAAATGAAAAAAAAAAATGATATATGACAAGGGAAAAAGGGGTGGTACTGTAGTACTCAACGGTGGCGGGTGGGGCTCTCGCTAGAGCTCTGCTGCTCGCCTGGTTGTCTCCTGCTCCTGCCTAAGCGTGTGTCTGGAGTATGCTCTGGTGAACGCTGCGAAGTCGAAGCTCCACTCTGCCCAGCAGCAGGGACCAACCTCTCAGCATGTCGATCCTCAGTGGTCTTAGACCGGTTCTCCCGGTCTGCATCATCTGCTCCTCCTCCGCGAGTGCACACACAAGGCCTGATCTTAGCTATGGCTCTCCACATCTTGTGCATCATACTGTTGTTCTTCCTCGTCGAAGCTATCATCCATTCCATCTGCCTGGAGATATCGTCACCTGCTGGTGGTGGTGAAAGGCGGTATCGTGCTTGATCCTCAGGAAGCAGCAGGTATGGCTGAGCATGCTCGCGAGGTACCAGATCATCATAATCCTCATAAATCTCATCATCAGCTACAACATGCTCATCTGCAGGTGGAGCATCGACGAACATGCGTCGTCTAGGGACGCCTCCGAAAGGGTTGGGAACCAAGTACTGCTCGTCGGGTATGAACTCCAAGTTCGAGAGAGAGACCAGCGAAGTGATATGCGTGTTGGGTAGGCTGCAGAAGTATGAGAAATTTTCCCTGCCCAAGAAAGTGTACACGAGACTGTTTGTCTTGAGGTAGCCGGTGTTGACCAGGTTATCAACATCCATAGACGCTTGCCCAGCTTCATACTTAACCGTGGAGAGGTCCAGTTTACAGCCAAGGAATAGTGGAGTAAGTGCAGTACCAGCTAGAATACTCCGGCCGGCTGATGTGGGAGCGGTGTTCTTCATCTTGACTAACACATCGCACAAAATTACAACTATGTTGACATCAGGTGCTGGAAGGTCAGCATAGCGAGGTAAGAGGTGCTTAACGCCGTAGAAAAGCATAGCCAACTCTGACAATGGAACAGCTGCTATCACTGGTTTGAAATACAATGTACTGCCAATGACTTTCGCTACATATCGCACTACGGGGTTTCGGATGTGTGTAATCTTCGCCTCACGCGACTTGTATGACCCTGAAGCAATCGTACCCCAAAAATCATCAGCAACCGCATAGGACAACTTTGGAAACTCAACAGATTCTCCCTTGGTGAACCCGTACATGTCGCATATCTCAAACAAAGTTTTGCTGTAGTGCACTTTGTTGAGGAAGAACGTGAGTGTCCCTTCACCAGCTGTTGGCTTCGTCGGGTTATTGTATGTAAGACGACAAGTGGCTATAAACTCTCTCACGAGCTTAGGGTACACGCGATGCTCCACTCTCCATAATCTCCCCAAACCAAGCGTCTCAAACACTGTTGCAACATCATCAAGTATCCCAAGCCTACTTAGCGTAAACTGGCAAGCAATCTGTGTAGGCAAGACCTTAACGGGCTTCAAAGCCGCCATGAGTTTGGTGTCCTCTTTGTCCCATACGCCCGTTGATATATTGTGTTTTTATCGGTTTTGAGTATTTGTTTTCTTTTCTAGATCATATATTTTATAGAGTCAAAGTGTGTTTTTAGAGTCTTTTAGTCCGTTATCGAGTCTTTACAGGTTTTAGGTTGCTTCGGAGGGAAACGAGCTGTTTTGGGATAAAACACACATTTGGAGATGCAGTTTCGTTTAGAAGTATCAGACGTTTGGCCTCAGATGGAAGACTTCCCACCGTTAGATCTTTCTAAAGTTTTGACACAAGCTTGATGAAGATGTTAGCTTGATTTTCCAAGTGATTTGAAGGAAATCTAACGGTGCATTCAGGAGTTATACCCGATTTAGTGAAGACAGGTCATTCTGGCGAGCATTTGAAGCATGTGCAGAGTTTGGAACCAGAGAAGGTTAGACCGATCGGTCCAGGAGAAGACCGATCGGTCCGGAGCTCGACGGCGGACCAGAGAGGGTTAGACCGATCGGTCCTTCACTAGACCGATCGGTCCGGAGCTTCGACGGAGAGCAGACTTGGTTGGACCGATCGGTCCTCCTCTGGACCGATCGGTCTGATTTCCTGACGCCCGGTTTTGGTTTTCCTTAACCGGATTTATCTTCTATTTTCTGTACTTGGGTATAAAAACCCCAGAAACCTAATTTTCTTTGGACGTTCTTTTCTCTGTAACTTTTGAGACTTCTCTTTGGAAGCTTTTTGGGGATTCTAGAGATTCATCCTCTTTGACAATTTGGAGAAGATTTCTAAATCTTTATCTCTTTTATTCAATTGAACCATGTTTTCTTTCATATCTATTTGCGTTGTTTTCATTGCTATGTGTGAGTAGTTCTCTAATTGGGTTTTAGGGTTCTAATTAGGAGATTCAATGGATTAGTGGATTGATTGTATTAGGAATTCTCATTCTCTAGGTTCTTTGATTCACATGTTCTTAATGCTAGAATAGGATTGATCACCCTGTTGTAGATTCTAGGTTTTTCTATGCATCAAAAGTGTTCGATAGAATGCCTGAAAGAATGTGGATTGAGCAATGTATTTCTAGCCAACGAAAGTTGACGTTAGGACGCATTGTGAACTTAATGAACTTGTTTGGTAATGCGAATTTGACTAGGAAATTGCATGCGAAGGTTTAGTAATCGAATAGTCAAATTTAGTGATTAATATCTTGAAAGAGAATTGGTTTAAATGTGTTCATGTTCGAGAACGGTTCTTAATTACTGAATTCCTGGTTTCATGTTTCCATTATTCGTTGATCTCTGAAATACCCTAATGCCCAATGTCTTTAAATCTTGAAGTTAAACCGTTTAATTTATTTGCGTTTTTATTTTACAAACTGAAAACCCAAACAAAACAACCTTTCCGCTTTAGCTAAGAACGAGTCTCGGAAATCTTTAGTGTACCATTGGTTCTTGTGGATCGACCCCGTATATAATACCTTGCGGTTAAGTGTATCGGGTAATTACTCGAGCAATCAAGTTGGCGCCGTTGCCGGGGACCAATTGCGTTACCTAAGGATTTAGGATTAGTTTTTAGTCTAAAGCATTTTTATTTTCTGTTACTGATTTTCGTTTTCGTTTTCTCTTTGGTGTTTTCAGGTGTATGACCCGCAGCCAAGGCTCGTCACATCTAGCGGACTACCAAGAGGATATCGGAAAATTTGAAAGAGCGAATAAGAAAAAGAAGAAGATAGCCGAGCAGAGAGAAGCTGAAATGGTTGAATTTGATGCTGCAGGAAATCTTCAGAATAGAGATGAACTCCCACTTGGAGGTGATCATCAAGGAGTGTTTCAGGATCCTCCACCGCCTAGAAACAATAATGCTCCTGCTGCTGGTGAACAAGATGCCGCTGCCCGTGCAGCTGCTGAACGTGATGCTGCTGCTAATGCCGCTCGTGTAGCTGTAGCAAATGCTAGGCCCGCGCCTGCTCGACAGACTCTGAGAGAGCATGATGCTCCTAATGTTGTGCATTTCCGAGACAGGAACCAACAGCTGCCAATCAATAGGAATGATTTTGAGATTAAGACAGGGTTGCTATCTTTGGTGAAGCAGAATCAGTTCCATGGTCTCACCTCGGAGAATCCAGTCTACCATTTGGATAACTTCGACGATATATGCAGTACAACAAGAATGAATGGAGTACCTGATGATATCATCAAATGCAGACTTTTCACCTTCTCCTTGGCTGACAAAGCCCATCGCTGGTTGAAGTCCTTGGACACTGAGAATTTAAGAAGCTGGGAAGACTACAAGGCTGCATTTCTGTCACAGTATTTTACTCAGTCCAGGACAGCCATTCTGAGGAACAAGATCTCTTCTTTTCAGCAGCATGGTACAGAATCGTTCCATGATGCTTGGGAGCGGTTCAAAGACTACTACAGAGAATGCCCTCATCACGGGTTTCCATATGCCACTTTGATCAATACTTTCTACAGGGGAGTCGATAAGGACTACAAGATGGCTTTGGATACTGCTAGTAATGGGGATTTCATGACCAAGACTGAGGATGAAGCTACAGAGCTTATTGAGAATCTGGCAACCAGCAATAGTAACCACAATGTTGACTATGACAGGTCGTACAAAGGTGGAGGAGGAGAGTCGAAACAGATTGCTGAGTTGACAGCTAAGGTAGAGCAGCTCCTCAAGAGAGATCAGCGGGTTGTCAATTTCTGTGATGATTCAAGTAAAGGTCCAGTGCATCAAGAGTTCAGCGGAGACGGTTCTGAAGATCTACAGGCAGAGTTGAATTTCGTGAATGGGTATGGAACCTATCAGAACAGAGGGTTCAATCAGAATTACAGGAACCATCCCAACCTTTCCTACAGAAGTACCAATGTTGAGAATCCTCAGGATCAGGTGTATCCAACTCAGGCAGGGTCACTGGGTCAGAAATTTCAGCCTAGTCAAGGTTTTCAGACTAAGGGAAACTTCCAGGGACAATTCCAACCTCCTGCAGGTACCACTCATGCATCTACATCTGGAGATAATGAGATGAAATTGATGATGCAGCAGATTCTTGAAGGTCAGAAGAAGAATGCTGCTGAGATCAATGTCAAGGTAGATATCATGTACAATGATCTCAATGGGAAGTTTACAACGCTATCCTCACATGTCAAGACTCTTGAGAGTCAGGTTGCTCAAATTGCTTCAGCCTCTACACGACCAGCTGGTGCTCATCTTGGGAAGGTAGAACCCAAGGGTAAGGAACATTGTTATGCGATTATGATCCATGAAGAGCCCAGAGAGAGTGATGTTGCCAAACAAGAGGAAGCTAAGGCTATTGTTGTTGAGACATCTGTAGAGGACAAGATTGGAAAGGTTAATGAACCTTTATATGTGGAGCCGCCATCCTATGTTCCCAAGCTACCATTTCCAGGCCGTGAGAGACAGATTCAGAAGCAGAAAGAGTATGCACGCTTTGATGAGATCATGAGACAGCTATATGTTAGACTCCCTTTCTTGAAGTTGGTTCTCCACCTTCCAACTTTCAAAAGTTACCTGAAGGATGTCTTCTCTAACAAGAAGAGCATTGAGGAAGGGGTTATGTTGATCTCTAAGAGTAAAGAGTATGTTCAGCTGGAGGAGTCTCGGGGACAACAAGGCAAGGTACAACTCACTGATGTAGTAGAAGTGGTAGCAGGAAAAGAGATGGTCAGCACTAGCAGTGCCATCCTTCCAGTCACTATTCCTGAGAAGCTCGATGATCCAGGAAGTTTTGTTTTGCCTTGCCGGATTGGGAAGTCCATATTTGAGAGGTGTCTTTGCGATTTGGGAGCTGGTGTTAACTTGATGCCTCTTTCTGTGTCAAAGCGTCTAGGCATTACCGATTTCAAGCCATCAAGGATCTCTTTGATTCTAGCTGATCGCTCTGTGCGATACCCAGTGGGTTTGGCGGAAGACGTGCATGTTCGAGTGGGAAATTTCTATATTCGAACTGATTTTACTGTCTTGGAGCTTGACAATGAACCACAAGATCCTCTCATTCTTGGTAGGCCATTTTTGAACACCGCAGGAGCTATAATTGATGTGAGAAGAAGCAAGATCAACCTGCAAATTGGAGACTACTCTTTGGAGTTTGACATGAGAGAGACGAGGAAAAACCCCACCATTGACGGTCAGGCATTTTCTATTGACACGAATGATGAATCTAGCGATAAGTGTGTAAAGAAATGCAGTGGTTGGAGTGAGGTCAAGGAAGTCCTGGATGGAGACACTCACATTCCAATAAAGAAGATTGCTGCTAAGGATATGGTGAAGCAGAAAAGGATCAAGGGAGATCCTCATATAGCTTTGATACCGCTGCGTTGTGTCGGGGACACCATTGAGTATAAGGTGCAGTGTAAAGGGACCTCGAAACCTTTCTCCAAAGCTAGGAGCATTCTCACTTCTGAATGGAAAGAGAAGGGTAGAAAAGCTGTGAAAAGTGTGGTTGGTAAAGTTCTGAAGCTGAAGTTAAATGATTGGGGACCTTGTTTCGGAGCAAGTTCCCGCACTCATACCCATTAGTCCACGAGAATCCGGTCAAGCTAGTGACATAAAACAAGCGCTTTGTGGGAGGCAACCCACCAGGTATTTCGGATTTCCCTACCATTTATTTATTTTTCCTTTGTTTTCTTTTGAGTGTGTATGGCATCTTTTCTTTGAATTGTTTTCACACCGAGTCGGTGTGAAGCAAGTCGGGGGGAGGATGTCATTTTTCTACTAATCGAGTTTGCTTTGGTTGTTTCTTTTGTTTCTTTCGTTGAGTCTGTTTTTATCGAGTCAAAAAAAAAAAAAAAAAAAAAAAAAATTGTGTCTTTTATTGAGTCAAAATTTGTTTGAGAACTATGATCTTTTCTTGGGGAATTGCACCTTGCTTGATTTCAATGCCTTGGGACCATTTTAGCTTTATTCGATAACTTGGAAGTTCAGGAAAATCCATCACTAGATCGCTTTATAGTAGTCCCTATCTCTTTGAAATTCGGATGAATTGAGCTTTATCTTATATACT